GATATTAGTACTGCTCTAATAATAGACCTAATCCTAAAATTGTAGATTTGTCATGATATAGCTGCCTAATCTATAAGATCTTACGTGGAAGTCACACCATCGACTACACCAACTCACTGTATGGTATCAATTACCAATACATGATGTAGAACAAGGTTAGGCTAGAGAAAGAACAATATATTTAATATGAATAGGAGATATAAGATAACATCCAGCAGGGACCACGCCTGCATGGCCGAGCCATGCCACTCGATCAACTCAGTCCATTCAATTCATTCTCTGCGCCTTCTCCATTGTTAGGTATTTCCCCGACTTAAATATTGAATATCTATTTTCTGAGTAGTCTCGTGTTCACAGCATTTGTGGATTGTGTGGCTATTGTCCAATGCCACTACACTACTCTCCCACCAGAATCAACGTGATGTTGGTTCGATACCAAATTGGATGGGATCGTCGCGCGCCGGAGGTTACCAAGGATAATAAGGATCCTCCAGGTATTGATAAGCTGAAAGATATATCAAAAAGACGGCAGCATCTGGTCGGGAAATATATGCAATAATCTTAAAATATCTGCTTTCATGATTAACACGCTTAAAATGAAAATTTGGTTGAAGATTATTTGAACTATAAAAATGGGATTACAATAATAATAATAATAATAAAACGATGCGTGTTGATAGCCGTTGGTTAATAATTTAACGTTTAGGTAGTAAGTATTTTGTGTTTAGAAATATTAAAAGCAATCAATATTGTAGAAATGTTAATATTGGTATTAGTTTTGGTTAAAATTATGAAATCGAATAACGATTATGCCGGTATGTTGTCCATAAGAGTTGAATTCCAATTGCATCTGTATTAGTAGGCTAACTGAAGGAACAAAAGTATACCGTGGAGAAGAATTCCAACTAGTGTTACAGTCAGTTTGATACGGTTTATTTAGTTACGGGTAGATTTTCTCAACCTCATTTTTACTTGACCGTGATAGAATTTAGTAATACTACTAATACACATGAATGTTTATCAAAACAAAATTTAAATACGTAAGTGATGATTATATGAATTTTGGACAGATAGCTAGGAACAAATCGTTAAACATGAGTGTATTCGTAAGAGACATGCTCTAGACTCAATGTTCTGATCTGTGGCAGACTATTTATTTATATTTATACTTGCTGGCTGATTGGGCATACAAGTTAGTTGCAAGTATGCAGTTTATAATAAGGCGGAATACGATTTAATTGAGATATAGTGGTTATAAGTTATTAAAATCAGTTAGGCCTGTGTCATATTACGAAGTGATGTGGTATTGCAAGATGTATTTAGCTAAATAAGTTTTTACAAGATGATTAATGGTGAGTGATGCTCATGTGATTATCAGGGAGAACATAAGTTGTAACCAGGGGGAGTACACTCCCAACTCATGTCTATGATTGTCAAGTGATTGTCAAGTCATGACAATGCTTTATGACGATATCCTGGAACTATTATGTTTAACTAGTTATAGTGTTGAACGAGGATTAGTCAGTGGAAAAATAGGTATTGTTGCTTTAGGTGATTCGAAATTATCAGAAATTTGTAACGTTAAAGAATCCGAGACGCCTAATTTAATTATAAATTTTATATCAGAAAGATTCGTTTAGTGTTAATTCTAGTAGGCTACGGAGTTTTGATTTTAAACGTTTATTTAGCCAACAGCTACCTAGGGATTTAGTTATTTTACAAGTGCAGTTGATAGTACCTAAATTTTTAATCTTATTATCTAAAGTATGTTTGCATTTTAGGCTGCTAATATGATAAACCAATCCATAAACCCAAATACGATTAGCAACAACGACTATGATGGGTTTATTGATAAATGTTAAAGGCGATTCAGATGATTTCTAAATTCAAAAGATATGAAGATATAGTGTAACGTATGTACGGGCCACGTTAACATGCAGGTTGTTGACGTATATAAAAATTTAAAAATAATGAACATGACCAGGAAAAGTAATTTTAAAGTCAAGACTGCTTATGAAACTTCAGGCAAGAATGTAACGCGTTATAAACATTCCATAAGAAGTTACTGCATTTAGCCTAGGGACACTTACAAATATGTGGCAAAAGCAACTGGAAAGCATATACATGTTAAGTACAAAAAATCATTAAGTAAAATAGTTGAACTCGCCTGGATTATTTTTGAAAGTTATATTATCCAGTGGACGACATATATAACGCCATTCGTGAGGAGTAGTAATGATCCAAAAGTATCCAGGATAAATCATGCAGTATGGCAATTAATTCCAGAGTCCTTGATGCTGTTGACGTTTTTGCCACTCGCTCGGATCAGAACAACCGAATGAATCCAGATAATTGTGCGGTCACCATTGAACGAGCCATCTAAAATGACCTTATGATTGCAGAAAACTTATGGCTGAAACTCACCGTATGTTTTTAGAGAAGTGTCATCCTTGTTGTTTGGCAATGGAACTCGAAAATTTGAAATTAGGCAGGCAGTGGTCGGAAGAAGAGATATTACAGGATAGTGCATAGTTTAAAACAGGATGAGGTAATAAGATAAGGAACACTGAATATTAGATCCAGGTAACTATTTAGTCCTTGCTGCATTGTTAGTCGATGTATATTTGCGTTATTTACTGGTCATGTTTGCTAGAGCTTGATGCTTAAACAAGCCTATGTCGCTGAAGCATGTAAATGCTATTAAAGCTTGTTAACGAACCCTCAAAGCTAATTAGTTAATATAGACGACCAGTTTTTATTATCGAATGAGCTAGTAAGTTATGTGAACTAATAGATATAACATTACGATAATATGTGACCGTTAATCAAAGGACTATTAGAATAGTGGGTTTACAAAAATAAAATCCGATTGAGGTTAAGGTGGAAATAAGGATTAACAATAATGGGTTGCGTTTCTTTAGTTGGGCTCACCAATGTAGAATTATGGTCTACTATGATATTAGTACTGCTCTAATAATAGACCTAATCCTAAAATTGTAGATTTGTCATGATATAACTGCCTAATCTATAAGATCTTACGTGGAAGTCACACCATCGACTACACCAACTCACTGTATGGTATCAATTACCAATACATGATGTAGAACAAGGTTAGGCTAGAGAAAGAACAATATATTTAATATGAATAGGAGATATAAGATAACATCCAGCAGGGACCACGCCTGCATGGCCGAGCCATGCCACTCGATCAACTCAGTCCATTCAATTCATTCTCTGCGCCTTCTCCATTGTTAGGTATTTCCCCGACTTAAATATTGAATATCTATTTTCTGAGTAGTCTCGTGTTCACAGCATTTGTGGATTGTGTGGCTATTGTCCAATGCCACTACAGACTCACTGATCAAACAGCTCAAAAAAGAGAATTTGGAAATACAAAAAAGCAAGCTTTGTTAGCCTACAGTAAGTAAGGACTCTGTCCCCTAGGAGTGGGTCAATCAAGACAACCAATATTATACGAGAGTAAAACCACTCAATATGGTACCCTACAGAACTGAAAGTATGAAGTCCAACAAAGCTAAAGTAGTAGTAACATCCTTTGCGAAATAAAGGAGCTTATCACGTTTTGGAAGCTGCCCATCAGTAATTTGATTATAAACGAACGTATGGTTGAGGAGAAATATAGCTGCATACAGATAGCGATAGAAGTAACATCTTAACTAAAAAGGCGAAACGAATAAAATTTCCATTTAACGAAATTAAGCATGATAGTTTTCTCACATACAACACGAAAATACATAATGGAATTTTTAAAACCTACCATATGAAGATGAACGTTATATAGACATAAGAAATGAAAATAGATTTGAGGGTATTTTTTATGTCTAGTTGGATTCAGACTATGTGAACGAAATCGGGGTCCTCATGGTTTTTCTTGGTTTATGAATACTGACATGTAATCCGAGTATATTAGGTAGTGAGCAGTTATGATAAGATGATGGGTTGGTAACAAACTCAAGCATTATGTCTTCAGTAGATACAACAAAACTCTGCTCATCCACTGCTAGTCTGAAGCAGAGAATTCAGGAAGACGTCCCGTTACGAGATTCGACGTTATGTAACCTTTTAAAGGTAGTTGAGTGATTGTCATTGTATTCACTTCATGACTGAACGACTGAGTCAGTAAGTTAAGGAGTATGAAAGAAAATTTTCTAAGTGTGATTGATTTGCACGTCGGTTTTCTCGGATAATCTTATACATTTAAAAAACACGGAAGGAATAGGTAAGAGTTGAAAGGAAAAAAATGAAATTTTACTCAGACAGAGATGCGTGTTCAGCCTTAACGACCATGTGATTAGGAACCAAATTCACCAGGAAATTACGATGCAATATGTCAAGAGTGACATCAAAGTCTCATACCACGTGACTGGATATGGATATAATGATTGACCGAATTTGAAAAAGATGGTTCAACCAACATGGTTTAAATTGGTATTCAATGTCCGTTATATCGCTTAATTATCATTACACGACTACTGAGAAGCTAACGGAAGTCCTCATGTGCTGAAGTGCTACAAGTGGGTGAAGTCTTTTTTATAATTCCATTAGATTTTTAATGGCCAAGTGATAATTGAAAATGCGATAAATTCAGTTTTTTGCAACTTTCCAGTGTACACGTTATAGCTTAATATTTTACTACGAAAATACGGATTAAGTCGACAAACATTTCATTAAAATACTGAAAGTGAACAACTAATTTACTAACACTCTCATATTCTATAAACCTTTAGTTTCGACGGATTTTGCCTGACAAAGCTTATTAATTTTATGTATCCAGGTTTTTTAATATTAACAGGTTTGCTATACTTAATATTATGTATTGATTATCGTGTTCTACTTGTGGAGTGGTAAAAAAATCACGAGTTGTGAATTTTTTACAGATCTTGTTTTTATAAGACCTGGTTTTTTACCTGCTTCCAAACCTGCTTATTATTTATTGAAATTTAACTTGTTTTACTGAGTAAGCTAATCAGCGCATCATTCAAAACTACACTCTGTTAACGAGTTGGTATGTCTTCTCTGGAGTCGAGTAATGTTCGGCACCATAATTGCACAAGTTCACCAGAGTTTTTGAAATCACCAGAAAGTGAGTTTTTTGTATTGGCTTCACCTTTGTTTTGAACGTGATACAGCTCCCATTGTATATGGGTGTGGAATGGCAAATCGTATAACCGATTCATCATTAATTTGGCATTCCTTATGCTCTATTTTTTTTACCGAAAACTTTCATTATTGCACATTATTTAAATTGTAAATATTATTTTCCATATGACTTGAGCGATCACACTGACAAATGTAACTCATATTGCATGGAACATGAAATTTCTTTGAATACTAACTAAGTTGAAAGTTAAAACCCCAAGTTTTTTTGAAAATTAATCTCTATGAAAACTTTTGAACGTTCGCTTAATAACTGCTCGCGTTTTTCTAAGTTACATGTTCGAAGTCTGGAGAATATTCACATAGATAAAAAGCAAACAATACATAGTTAATATACGGTGAACATCAGATATAATACTTCATGGCTACAAAGAATGGGTCTCATCGCTGCTTGTCAGACGTCACAGTTCTCGTAAGTCGTCAATGTCCAGACTTCCGGGAGTCTGGCCAACTTTGAAAATAAGTCATTAACTGTCCGCAATTAGCTGTTGATAAAATATATTTTCTCGTTAGTTCAGTTTTCTATTTTGAGCTGATACTGCATTTAGCCAGGTTATTTAGTAATCCCGTTTCTTAGTTTGCGGTGGTCGGTAATCAAACTTTCAAAATACTAAATAAACCTTAGAGCTTATTGGTTGCCTTATGTCCTATTTTAACAGTCTAAAGATGTACATTGTCAAAACTACAAATATCCAAGTTTAACCGAAATCAGTTGTGTCAAACGTACGCTTAATTCGGTGTTTTTATGTTTTTATAGTAGTTTTGCTTCCTTGTGATGTTTTAGTTCTGTAAAGTATTTCATAAATGTCCCCGAAATTCCAATTTGCTCTTGATAATATCTAGAATATCAAATTTCGACACAATATATTGCCACTAATTTGGTTAAAATTAGTGGCCTTTAAAAATTTTTTGACTTTCAAACATTATTGAGGTTCTTTTATTATTGGTAACTGTTTTCGTTAAACGGTAGAAGTTTGTTCGATTATATTGTTATTTTTTTCATGTATTTTCTCTACACATGTTTTAGTCGGTAAGAGCAAAAGTGGTCATCCATGCAACATCACACCCTACTTCTGCACGTATAAAATCTGCAAGTAACGATGTAAATTTCAGTTCTAGCTGATAATAATTCCACACGTTCGTATGCTAGCTTAAAATAAACTCAGTAATTATTAGATAGATATTTACTATGTATACCCTGCCATTGCTGTGTAAGAAAGTTATCGCTACAGAGCCAAACATTTTATTTTGTATTGTCGTTCTCAGTAAGTAACAGAACCTCTATCCTGTGAAAGTTATATCAGAATCGTATATACTTTGTGATATTGATCTCTTTAGGTGAGAACATTGGGTGGGCAATATTGGGTTAAGCTTACCAGGAAAGACTAAAAAGAAAAAATATCTTTAAGGGACTATGCAACTAGAAACGATTTACTTTTAGGCAAAATTTGAACAATATGCCATAATTTTATGATCCTTTATTTAATAATCTCTGTAATATATTTTCTGATTTCGACCATTTCTCTTTTCGTTTCTTTTAACATTTTACATTTTCAACATTTCCCACTGTTAGTTTATTTAATCGCATTCTCAAGCTACGTGTCACATCAAACATTCTTTTGGCGAACAATAATTTACAAAGTATCAACAAACTGTATTTGGTTTTCGATTACGTTATGTGGTCCTACGTTGTAGCTGACTAATTACATGATAACACTGTCAAATTGTTTGCTTTCCAGATGATATTTCTGACTTTGCATTTCTTAGCGAGTTTTCCAAATGCAATATGTCAATTACTTAATAACTTGGTTGGCTTTTGATGCATATAAATAGCCCTATTCCTGACTCACCTCATCAAACTGTGGTTTCTCGGTCACAAAAAGTCAAATGTTTCACTTTCCGTAAACAGCTAGTAGTAGGTTTTACAATACATAGTGTATCTCAATAAACTTGCACTTTAAAATGGCTTTCATCTAACTTTGTTTTATATGAAATTCCATGCAGGTTCGTTGGATCTGAGAGATAAATTGTTTGCTGATAGTAAACTAATGTGTTCTTCAAATTTAAATGAGACCTATTGGATGAAACTGGACAAGTCGTTAATTGCCCGACACGAGGTAAAGTCGGTTGTTACTGATATGGTACGTTGATATTTATTGACTCATTAGCCAAAATGAAATAACTGTTGCTTCTAGTGATACGTCCTGTTCCTATCCTTAGTATTTTGTTCCAATATATTACCATGTGGCTAACTTCATTATTTGATTTTAGTTCTTACCTATCACCAGTGTTCACCTAAAACACCCTATCATGATTCAAAAACTTTCTCATGACCTTAGTTTTGTGCTAGTTAGATTAAGTATATGTATATGTTTACCACTATACACTCTTACCTAAAATTTTGTAATTTTTACTTAGGCTTCATAATTAGTTTAGGCTTCCTGAAAAAATTTCGATTTTCGCATTAAAAAACCACTTCTGATTATAATTTTGCCTATATAAATCAGTAACTATAGTTTTTTTTAAAAATAGGTTATCTGTGAACTATTTTTTCATGTACCTATGAAATTTTTTTGATTCCAGAAGTCCCGAAAAGATATGTTTTCACTAAATTCCCGACCTGCTTCGCAAACATTTAAAGCACACTCAACCCGATATTCACGTAAATGTTTGAAAACCCATTGCAATAAAAAACATTCCACATACAGACAAAGTGAAGATACTACGGATTCTGGTAATGGTCTATCTTCAACCGTTGGTATTTTAAATAACAAATCTGGTCACGTAACCCAGTTAGCCAATCGTGTCGAGCACCTTTTAATTCAGGTTCGTTGTATTTCAACTTTTATATTTATTTGATGAAGTATGTAAAGAAATTCAATGGATTTTAATGGCAAAAACGTGACGACAGTATCCATTGTTATTATTCTCAAGTTGGTGTTTCTTTGTCAAAAAATTTTTTCTTTTGACGTTGACAACTAGAATCTTAGGTGTTTTATTTTATTCTTTATTCACCCATTAGGATTCTACTAACGTCTTGTATCAGAACAAGGAAATACAATTAGTCTATCATATTGAAAAACCGGACTCCTTGGAAAATAATTTATTTTCTAGCACTAAAAAGAATCCTAATAGTCTCATCCCAAGTCCAGTTACAACCACATTATCATCGCCCTGGTATCGTCATTGTAGACCAAAAGCCCCTCCTCCAACTTTTCCTTTTTCCACAGAAAATTCTGTGAAATGCTGTGAAAGTGAAAGCCGCGATTTTGAGCTTTATGAAGAGAGTAACAAGAATGGAAACGGCCATCTAGAATTTGAATGCGAAAACCCGCTTAAACCTGTCCCATGTCTACTTTCTTCAGTGTGTTCATATTCAGTACACTGTCCAAGTATACAAGTTCTAGAGGCAGATCTTAGTCAAGAAAACATAAACTGGGATTCAGATTACCCACTGCCATCTTCCCTACCTCCTTCCAGTGATGTCGCACCAACACTAATGAGTCATTCTTATTCCCCCTCACCCGCTCTCAACAACAATACTAATGAAGTATCCAATACGCTTTCCGGAGCAGTAGCATATTTAGAAGAAGTTAATTTAAAACCTTTGGCTCCCATAACAAATATCTTGCCAAATGGTGGTTCTTTTATTCGTAAGTCTATTAACGTTTTGTTTCCGACGATTCTTTTACGGGTATGTGTTTTGGTTAAACTCAACTAATGAGTAGCTAACTACTGCTTCCTGAAATCGAGGCCTGAAAAAAGAAATTGAAATGCATTTCCTGACTCCTTGAAATACTTTATAGCTTGTTTAGTGCGGTAACGTGGGCAATTTACTTTTGCCAGATGAATTCTATTATAGTACTAATTTATTGCCTGTTTTCCAATGTGGGACCCCAGTAGGTTTGTTTTGGAAATATTGTAGGACCTAAATGACTAGTTGGTCAGCATTAAATGTCTTAATTAACACAATGTCAAATGTTTGTTGCTCTTAACGGTACTCTACCCTCATCTTACAGATCTGTTTTGTTTTCTATCGCCTAAGTCACTTCGTGTTTTATTTATAAAAACTGAGTGTTTGTTACCAACCTATAATTCAATAGCAACGTATTGTGACAACATTTATCGTAGTTTATGGTTGTCGTGGTGTTTTATTTTATCAGTTTCACTTGGTAATACGGCCTAGTCAACAGTTCTGTTTAGTAAATGATTGTCCAAAATAGTAATCTCATTATATCCTGAATATTTTAATAAGACTGACACTAAATTTGAAGTTACGAAAACTAAGTCCAACTGCATATTAGCCTGTTAGATACGACAGTTATCCGAAAGCAACCTACATTATCAACATTTTCTCATTTTTAACAATTCTTTGTTTTCCATTATGGTTATCATGGTTAAGGCGTTTCGTCCTGTTTTGTTTTTTAAGTTATCCTCATGATATGTCGAGTTGTGATAGTGGTGTCCAGGGTGGATTGTTAATCACTAGGTGTGGCGGCTAAGAACTCGTCACATTCAAAAGTCAGGTATACTTAGACTTTACACAACGGATACTATTTATAGCCCCGTGCAGAAAAGCAGCCCACAGTTAATTACTATTGTTTGCTATAATCAAGGTTTGAGCGAGATTATCTCAAATTAAGTGGATTTTTCTCTGAGTTTACGTGAGTTCAACAAATTTAGGTCACAAATCATGGTGTAATCTCATTATTTTTGTCCTTTTCATTAATTAAACGACAGTAAACTGCGTTTGTTAGGATTAAGGTAACATTCAAACTGTCACCAATTTGCATTAAGATCTATGCTGTTTTGACAAGGCTAACATATTTTCCCCCCATTCTTCTGGCTGACTTCAACTGGATTTTGTTTTTGTTTCGTTTGCGAATGTAGTAATGCATTTATTTATTTGTCTAAATAGAAAACTTGATTCGTTGTTAGTTAGATTACGAAATTGAGATCAGCATCCCGGTGATACATTGTGTACATGGTATGCTTAGACAATCTCATACTGTAAGAATTCATCTCAATATTATGGATCAAATGTATTGGCACTCGCGTATTGTGTTTGGTGCCCCAACCAATAGAATCAATCACTTGGGTGAAAACAAAGCCAGAATACTTGTCGTATCGATAGACTAAAATAGCTAGTGAATGTAAATTAGTATTTACTCCTCTGTGTGTACTTCACTGTTATCAAAACTGTTCACTTAATAATGATATTTACTCATTAAAATACCTCAATTAAGTCATGATGAAGTGGAAGTACGCAAAGTTGCGTTACTTCTTTTAACGTTATAGCAATCACTTGTTCAAATTTAGTCAAAATAGTGACAGTTAAGATTAGTCCATTTTTAAACGACAAGTATTTGAGTTGTGTGAGAAAACTTCGAAAAATTAATGTCCGTTAATCATATTAGTGAGACTCAACGATTGGAAGTTCACACAGATTAATGATTGTTTAATTGTTTTCATATACTATCTTGTTATGTTTTAGAAGTGATCGTCAAACACAGACATTGTATTTGGCATCCATACAATTTAACCTTTGTTCAATTTAGGGCAGCAATCAGATGACCTGTATATTATTCACTTCAGACCAGTCTAAACATTTTAGGTGACTAATACGCCTTACCTCGTATTGTATATTCCTTCCACCCCCTTTTAATATTCATCCCCTTAACGTCGTAAACATTCATTTTAGCTTGTGGATGTCACACTTCTCCCCCTTTTGTGAATTGCTAACATCTGTCGCCCTCATCCCTGGCCTTCAGTCTCTTTTAGTCCAAATATATGGCTGACAGATTGGCTCGTGTGCCAAAAATAGGTCATGTTTTTGTGCATAACATACAAGTTCAAATGTCTTTGTCATCCTGTAAGGGCACTAAAACTCACACTCTGTTCTCATGTTGAAACTTGTCAATTTTTGTACAATGAAAATTCTGTTTGAAATAAGATTTAAGTACCTATCACATCAGAAGCAAATTGAAGACAGGTACATTTATGAGTAAAATGTACCCATTGGAAGTAAATGCAGTGTATGAGGACGATTCACTTGAATCATGTGCATGACTATTCTTAATAAACTAATTCACTTCTATGATCATCAGTGTCTTCGACGCAAATCATGTAGTGATTTTAAAGTCACGTCGTAAATAGTGGCGTTTGCTTATTTACAGTGTATTCACTTAAACCATACAAGTAAACGTTACTGGTTGTATTCTTGAAATCAGTCAGTTCTTCTCTGCTGAGTTTTTAAATTTCTGTATATATTTTTGTATTTATCAGGTCGTCATCCTAAATGGGCAGTTCCTTGTAGTTCAGACATCCTTAGGTCCCATACAACTGTTCGTTTCCCTGGTTCAAACTCAGTAATCGATTTTGATTTGAATTCATCTCCTTCTGTACCATCCCCTCCTCCTCTGATTGTGGAACGTTTGCCATGTGAACTGGATATTTCAAAATCTCAAGAACAGCACTTAAATTGTTCACCTACTCTAAATAATCCTAATCTAACACGTCCGATATTTTTAAAACGTGGAGCATCTGATGGTGCAGAACAAAACTCTGAAGATATAATTGGCCTAGATATTAACAAGGAATATGATCCACCATCAACGATGAAACGGTAAGCCACATTGTGAGTATTATTTAATCCACCACTAGGGAGTATGTTTAGCATGCACCACTATGAATCCTAAAAACTAGTGGAATAGATCGCTGTTTTTTGTTTGATATAATTATTTATTCAATATGTCAATTTTAATTCTCACCACTTTTGCATTTCAATAAACCTTTCATTTCGTTTTTAACTTTTTCTAAATTCAGCAGTCACTATTGGGATCTTACCAACGAAAAATATTCACCCAAAAAAAGTCGTGTTCAGTTACTATTACCAAGTGAATGTAGCGCATTTCTCCCAGTAAAGTCAACGCGTCAATTGGATCATAGACATATACACTGTATTTCTCCACCTTATTTACGATAGAGATCCAAGTTGAATCAGTATTTAAAGTACAAATTGTATACTAAATACTTAGTCTTTCATATATATATATACTGTACATTTTAACGGACCATTGATTTTTTGTTGACATTTTTGTTATTTCCGTGACTTAGTGGTTTTGTTATTTTGCCATGTACCTACGTACTGGTCTAGTTCTCTATTTATTGACTCATTTTCTTTATTTTCTCCCAATACTTCCGTTCGTTTATTTGTCGTTTCTATTTCGCTTAACCCTCTTGCCCTTAAATATTATTCAATAACATTACGATCACAACTATGGTTATTATTTTCTATTGTTTCTCTTTGTGTTCATCGTGATTTATTCTTGAACAAAGAAAGTGAAAAGGAAAAAAGGAAAATCTCTAATCCCCTTAATTTGCTTTGTGTGTTTCCTTTTTGTATAGCTTTTGTATGTTAGTTTCTATTTGTTCATTGTTAAAATTTGTTTACTGTATTTGGCTTTTTTCTTTTTTTGGATATTTTGTTATACTAAATTTATTGTACGAATTATTGTACTGATTCGAGTTCTGTCTGGCAGTTGTTTCTCCATTAACTTTTGTAACCATTAAAATTGTTAGGAATGGCAAAGTACAAATGTTCTTATGTAAGAAGCTCTTTTTTGTTAGTTTCCAGATAATTTTCCATGTTTAATGTATATATAGGGAGAACTGATTCCTGATGATGCTTGGCGGATCCAGACACCAATGAAAAAAGGGATCATGATGTCTCGATCCTATTATCAATTATTGTTTTAGCATTGCTTGCCCTAAATGATATGCATTCAAACACTTGTTCGATGAAATAACGAAATTTATGTCATAAACACTGTTTTATGAAGGAAAGATGATATAAGTAGAGGTTGTCATGTTAAACATCCTCATCATATGAAAAGATAACTGTAATAAACCTGTCTGCTGTCTACGACAAATGTTAAGGAAATATAGATGTGTTCAGTAAAAGAAATTATAACTGTAACTGACTGCATTAATTGAGTTGCTATCTTCAGTTATCTAAAAGACAGTCATTTGAAATCTGCACTTTTAGAATTTTTAATGCTCTTAACAGATAATGTATTCGTCGAATGGCTTGATGGACAAATTCTCAAAGTATTTGGACATCTGTACGAATTTTCACCATATTGTATCACTTATGTTAAGAAGAAATGATAAAAATAGTGATACCGGGTTACCGCACCCTACTGTCTGAAGCATAATTTTTCTACTATGTTGTTCATACAAGAGTATTTAGATTAGATCCAAACATCTAACCCAATAAAACAGACTTGGATGTTTGAGTTGTAAATTGACAACCTGATATCTTTTCGCTATTGCAGTTGGTTTTTGATTTTTTTTTACAAAGTTCGATTTTCCTCTCGATTGGCGGTTCGAATATACTTAGTCTAGTTTCGTAGATTTTATTTTTGTACGCCGGTAACATATTTGAATTAGTCATTTATTTCATGTCTTAAAACTGATCACTGCTGTTTACAGATTGAGGTCAAGCTTACGACTCCATATTCAAGTTTAAATAAATGGTGAACTACTAGATATTGTTGTGTTAGGATGAAAGTTTACAGTCAATGAAGTTCCAGAAATAATTCGATCGTAATATCAATTAAAGTGATTTATGTCGATTTTAAAGTGTTTCTCTTAGATAATAATTGCGGAATGATCTTATACAGTTTGATGAACTCAGTATTCTCATTACGCTCTGATATCAACGATGAAATAAAACCGAAATACTTTGGAAATATTCAAGATATAGAGCAGCTAAGAAAAGAGTAGTTTTTTCAATGCTTAATTATGAAATTATTTAAAACTTTTATTGCGTAAAAAATGTTTGTTGAGGAGTAATCATTGTTATATGAATCGGTATCTATTCACTCGGTTGATTAAATCTAAAGAATCTTTCCAAAGAAACTAATTTAAATAGTACAAAGTTGTTGTTGTGCAGTCAGTCAAATGAAACAATTTATCCAAACATTTTACGAAGAATTTCGTATTCATCACAAGTGACCAGTTTGAATAATGTAATCGAAAACTTCTAAAATCTTATGATACAATTAAAGAAAATGGGTCAAAATTATCATTTATTACAATTGATTTAAATAATCAAATAAAGTTAACATCTCTGAAAAGTATGAATCAAAAGTGATCTGATGATTTCAAGAAAGTTTTCTCAAGTGGACGAGTAGCTATTTACAATTCAATGTAAATCGGATAATGTAACATGAAATGATTTTTCTTACTGATTATTTATGTCACTATCCTTTTTATTTAAAAAAAATTATGCTGTTCGAAAGAACATACTGCCTGTTAACGGATTTAAGAAATTTGTGTCAAGTTAGATTGTTCATTATGAGAATATCCACAATTTTTAGTTATACAAAAAGTAAAAATGTTCAGATATAAAGTGAATGGTACAACTGATCAAATTTGTTAGGCACATAACGTTTGATTACTTTATAGATATATATACTTAAAAAATCTAGATAATTGATTCTTAATCTTAATTCTACAAATTTTGGCATTCATTATTTCTAAAACATTACAATTTTTTAGAGTATTGTAACTAACTCGAAATAAATGACAGTGATCTACTTTCTCTATGCTTCATTCTTTGAATGATTGACTTGATAAAGTATTGAGTGAAATATAGTTAATTATAATAAAAGATGTCCATAATACAACGAATTGAAGAAATTCAAGGATATTAATGGTAATAATTGCAGTTTCAGTATGACTAAGATGAGCAACAAAACAGGTGAGTAAAAACACTTTGAAAAGTTATTGAATAGACCAACCGTATTAAACCCACCGGATATCGAAGCAGTACACACCGACCTTCCATATATGCCACCTTACTAAAAGCAAAGAAATTGGCAAGGACATCATATAAATAAATCATGGCATAGCATAACAACCAGACAGCATGTTAAACAAGACAGTGAAGTCAGATGTCGAAGTAACTAAACATGCTCCGCGTTCTATTTAGGAAGATTTGGGAGGAAGAACAAGTGTCAACAGACTATAAAGAAGGACAGCTCATCAAGATACCAAAGAATGGAGATCTGATCAAATGTGAGAACTGCAAAGGCATAAAACTGCTGTCAGTATCAGGAAAGGTTTTCAACGGAGTGTTTCTGAACCCAATGAAAGACTTAGTAGACGTCCAAGTTCGAGATCGCCAAGCTGAGTTTCGTAAGGATGAGTTGTGCACAGACCAAACAGCAACGCTAAGGATCATCATTGAACAGTTAATTAAATGAAAGTCGCCACTACACATCAAATTCTTTAACTATGAGAAGGCGTTTGACAGTTTGGATAGGAGAATATTAAGGAATCTTACTCGACACTATAGAATGAGTAGCTAAGAAAATCATCAGGACTTCATCCGACGGACTACACTGCAAAGTCGTGCATGGAGAACATTTGAAGGACGCATTTCAAGTGAAGATCGGAGTTCGACAAGGCTGATTACTCACCCCCTTTCTCTTTCTTCGGGTGGTTGATTCTATTATGAAGACTTTGACATCTGACTGGAAGCGCAGAATACAATGGACAGGTTGGATGCAACCTGAAGATTTGGACTTCGCAGATGACCTGGCCGTTCTATTCCATACACACGAACAAATTCAAGTCAAGACAAGCAGAGTACCAGAAGCCACTGCATCAGTAAGCCTCAACATACACAGGAAGAAGAGCAAGATTCTAGAATACAGCATAGAGAACACCAACGCAATAACGTCTGATGGAGAATCTTTGGAAGATGTGGAAACTTTCATGTATCTGGACAGCATCATCGACGAACATGGAGAAGCTGATGTAGACATAAAGGCAAGGATTGGGAAAGCAAAGACGGCATTCCTACTGTTGAAGAACATATGGATCTCAAAATAACTGTCAACCATGATCAAAGTCAGAAACTTCAAAACAAACGTCAAAACAGTCCTACTGTACAAAGCTGAGATTTAGAGAACCACCACAACCATAATCAAAAATGGCACAAGTATTTATGGACCATTTTCTACGTAAGATACTGAATGTCCGTTGACCGGATACCATCTGATACAGCCTACTATGGGAGAGAACAAACCAGCTTTCAGCTGAGGAGGAAATTAGGAAAAGATGTTGAAAGTGGATAGGACACACATTGAGAAAATCACAGCTGCATTGAGTAGCAAACCCCAACTTCGAATCCTGAAGGGAAATAAAAAGAGGAAGGCCAAAGAACACATTGCGTTGGGAACCGGAAGCAGACATCAAAATTATGGATAGCAACTGGAAAGGGTTGCCCAGGACAGAGTTGAATAAAGAATGCTGGTGGGCGGCCTATGTTTCTTCACGAGGGGTAGGTAACGGGTGTAAGTAAGGTTTGTAAATGTAACGTATAAACTGAGATACTATGTTTTGTAGTTTGACGCTCCTGACTGACCTCAACTACCGGGGCCCGCTTAACCCCTATTTTGTTCCAATATGGTCTCCTCACCAACATTTATTTATAACCCTACCAGGAATCAAACGCTGATCCTGCTATTCTCAAAAGAGTGCTCAACTTTCAAACTTCTGAATTGACATCCAGTGATTTATGTTTTTAAATTCAGTCAAATTACAATTTTTCACAATCAATTTTGCCATAAGCCGAACTTGGATGAACTCTTCTGATCCACTGTTGTAGAATAGATATAGACAAACTCTAGTTTATTCAACATTTTAAAGGATGTGAATATCTCTAGTTTACACATCAATTGCTGGTGAGATACTTCACTGTCAATGTCTGTGACTGAAAATGGGTAATGTGGGCTTGAACTGCACAAGGAATATCAGTTCCCTCAAGATTACACGTACATCTTTCATTCTACCATGAAATATGGGTCAACAGTTTCCTGTCCTCTATCTCTAACTAGAGAATGTAAATTGATTATCCTATCATCTTCAGACAAATTTTTTTCTCTGGCTGCATTTTTAATAAACCTCCTAATTTCTGTATGCGTAAATAATGTTTAGAAAACGTCTTCTCATATAGATGTTAAAAGGATATAAACTAATTTTCAAAATTCTATATGAAATTTTTGATACATGTGATGTAGAATACATCTAAATACCAACTTGTTTTTCTCAAAAGAAAAATTCAACAAACGAGCCTACTTAAATCTATGTATATGTGTGTGAATAAAGGAAGAGGGTTAGAAAAATATTGCTTTTGGCTTCTTGCCAAGTCAGCTGAGTCAATGTTGACCTCAAATTTAAGTGGGTCAGAACACATTACAAAAATATACACTAAAGCGTTTTAACCCAATTTCAAAGTTTGTCACTCTTTTCAGTAAATTGCATATTAATTTGCACACATGATTGATATAAATTGAGTCGGTTAATTAATAGTTATACTACGATAAGCAATAACTTTTGAAGGGTTGAGATACAAACAAGAATTGATTATGTATATTTACAGTCTGACTAACCAACAAGTTGGTCATTGAATGACTGAAAGGTCAGTTGGTTCAAGTAGACCTAACATTATGAAAAAATCTTGACTGACTGCAATTCAAGTCAATATTTTTTTTTACATTTTACAGATTTGCTCGATATCTGATTTTCACAGATTGAAA